ATGAAAGATTAAGAATAAGAAAGTGGCAAAATAATGTATGGACATAAGTATGACAGTTAGCAAAGATTAAGAGTTTTAGTGCAATTAATAAGTGGAACAACAAAATAAAAATACTGTATCTTCTTCGTATTATTTTAAAAGCGTGGTTGATTATTCTGAGTTTATTTACTTAGCATAAAACACTTGGATGCTTGATTCAAATTGAATCTAGTTGACTAAAACAGTATCATCAACGAATAGTATATGCTGCATAAAACATAAAACTTAGCATAAAACACTTGGATGATTGATTCAAATTGAATCTAGTCGACTAAAACAGTATCATCAACGAATAGTATATGCTGCATAAAACATAAAACAATTAAAAATAAAAGTTGACACGGGGATGTGTTATTAAATATAAATTAATTTTAGAAACTTAAAAATGTAAAAAACAAGAGTCAAGGCGGGCTACGGATTTTTAATTACAATATAACTTTAAGAACATAAAAATATAAATAAATTGACAATAGTGACAAGGTAACCGTCCATGTCGACTCCACCCTCTTAGGATATTCGCGTTAAAACAAAAGGTTTGAGAAGCTTTACAACTTCAAAATATTTATTTAGTTACTATTTTTTAAGTTATTTTTTGTTAGTTATAATATATAATATAAAGAAAAGATTAATATAAATTATTATATTTTTCTAACTCTTTTACATTATTGTGTTATTATTTAATTTTATCAGGAGCTACAATGTCAAATTACAAAGAGGTTGGAGGATGTGTGGTAATAGATATACTTGATTTTCAAGAATAAGTGTAACAATTTCATATGAACTTGCAAGCCAATTTTGCAAAACAACAAGGCATAGCAAACCTAAGTTGAAACAAGAAGAAAACTTCATTACCATGAAAAACCTGACTAGCAGTAATGCATGAAATGTACAAAATACATAAAAACAATTTATTTCTTTACTGAGAAGTTGGTCAGTGCACTAGCATATCAGAAACAATGAGCATAGATGGTCGATATTGCGGATTGGAGTGCAGGCATTCAATTGCAAGTTTAACAACTGACATCAAAATCACCTCTTCTTCTCGATTGGGATAAAGAACGCGCGGATCCAACAAATCTCCCAACTGTAAATCTCCATGTGACAGAGTTGTTACGTATTGAATGTACTCACCTGGATGCTTTCCTTTGACCACTTCTAATGCTAACACCCCAAAGCTATACACATCACACTTTTCAGTCACTTTCATTGTATACGCAAGTTCTGCCCAAAAAATAGGGAAAGAATACAATCAAAATCATGTATCTACGTTCCGTGAATGAAATATAGAAGAAAGAAACATTACCTGGAGCGAAATAACCATATGTGCCTGCAATAGAGCTGAAATTCGATGAATCGCATTTCAGAAACTTAGCAGTGCCAAAATCTGAAACATGAGCCTCGTACTGCGAATCAAGCAAAATGTTGTTGCTGGATATGTCTCGATGAACAATTGGAGGCGCACAACTATGATGCATGTAAGACAAAGCATGAGCCACGCCCTTCACGATATTAATCCTTTTAGGCCAATCCAATTTCTTGGCTTCTTCATCTACGCTTAGAGTTTTGGCCAAACTACCTCTGTCAAGGTATTCATAGACCAAAAGTGAGTTTTGATCATTTGAGCAGAAACCGTAAAGTTTCACAATGTTCCGGTGCCTGATTTTTGTCAATGCTCTTATTTCACTCACGAAGGCATTTGAGTTTTCCATTTTAGATGTTGAATAAAGTCTTTTGACTGCTACTGTTACCATTTCAGATGAGGAATGAAGTCTTTTCCCTTCTATCGTCTTTTCTGATGAAAGTTGTGCCTTATAAACCCTTCCACATCCTCCCTTCCCAATACAAAAAGCTGCATCAAATTCATTTGTAGCCTCTAAAATGTGTTTATATGTGAGTTTTCCATTGAATATGGAGAGAAAATCATCATCTTTTTTCTTTGGATGCATCTTTCTTTGTTTGTACAGGATGAGGATCCCGATGAACGCAAATAGAAGTAAAGATACACAGAGAAGAGGAGTTGCAATTATCAAAATGAATTTGTGGTCATTCACTGTCTTCTTGTTTTTAACTCCAGGAAGGCTTTTACACGGTTGTAATCCGCCAATATTGCCACACAATCCTTTGTTCCCTTGTAGTTGTTCTATGGAGGCGTTTTGAAAGGCTCTGCCACTAGGAACTGGACCCTCCAACTGATTAAAAGATATATCAATGTCCACCGGGCCAGGCATTTCTTCAAAACTCTTAGGAATGAATCCAAAGAAGTGATTGTGGGAGAGGTTTAACATTTCCAGGCTTTCCAAAGATCGTAATTCAGATGGTATTTCGCCGGTAAGTAAATTATTACTCACATCCAACTCGGACAGATGGATTAACTTACCAAGCCGAATGGGGATTCTCTGGCTTAAATAGTTGAAGCTCAAATTCATGTAATGCAACTGCTGAGAGTTCCCTAAATTTCTAGGTATTTGACCTGTCAATCTGTTTCTAGAAAGGTCAAGGCTTTCTAAATATGAAAGCGATCCCAATTCTTCAGGTATACCCCCAGAAAGTTGGTTATTCTCTAAACATAGATTTAGAAGTAAAGTTAACTTCCCAATTTCCTTTGAGATCTTCCCATGTAACCGGTTTGAAGAAAGATCAAGTCTTTGCAATTGACTTAAACTTCCAAATTCTGGAGGAATGCTCCCTGTAAGGTTGTTCTTCGAAATATTCAGAGTTCGCAATTGTTTGTTACTACCCCAGACGTTGGAGAGTTTGCCGTAGAAATTATTGCTACTTAGATCCATGAACGTCAAATTTGGATATACACCAAATTCTTCAGAAATATTTCCAGAAAGCTGGTTGTGATCAAACCTGACTCTGACTAAATTGGAGCAATTTCGTGAGCCTTACGGGATTGGACCTGAAAGTCTGTTGGAGTACACCAAAAATAATTCTAGTACTCTGCCACCACATAACTCTGGCAAAGCACCAGACAAACGATTAGAAAACATTGATACAACGACGAGTTTCTTCAATTTCCCTAGTTCTCTTGGAATGGAACCGGAAAGTTGGTTCTCAGATAGACCCAAATATTTTAAATAGCTCAGGTCCCCTAACGAAATTGGGATTTGACCCGTGAGATTATTTTCATTCAGATAAAGGTTCTCAAGTAATTTTAGCTTTCCAAGCTCAGGGGGAATTGAACCAGAAAGTTGATTAGTATG